GGCGGAAAGGTGTTCGCCATGACATCGATGCCAGCAGCCAGGAAGGCCAAATGCTCTGCCATGCCACCTACAGTCTGCACTACCCAAAGCAGAAACACAGCTGGGAAGTCACTAAAACCCAGCGACACAGAAATAGAAGTCCCCTAGAGGCCAGGATTTGTTGTCCTCGTTTTACAGAGGAGAAAATCTTGGCCAGAAAGGGAAAGTGGGTTGCTTAATGTCACACAGCTAGCTAGTGGCAGAGCTGGAGTGGAACCCAGCCTGGGGTTCACCTTCCAGCCAGGACACCCTCTGCAGTGCTGATGCCGCAGAGGACTGGGGAGGCATTGGGCGGCAAGAGTGCCTTGCTGAGCGTGGACTGCAGGCACAGGACAGGCTGGGCCACTGGGCAACTGCTGACTGTATCTGAAATTCTGGAGGTGAGCCAGCATGTGGTACCCTGAGCCTGCAATGTTGGGCCTGCTCTTTTCCTTTGGATTGACTTATTTTGCTCAGATCTTCCTTCTCTTTCCAAAAGACACCCCCAGACACCCCCTTCATTCAGGAGTAACATTAGTTAGCTTAATGAAATGGAGTCATTTCCTTTGGGGTAGAAGTTGGTCTTTCTAAGGGAGGGCCCTGTGTAGTGTACCTTCAATGAAGGATAGAGGAGAGGCTGTGGGTGGGCTAGTGGCAGGAGGCCAGAGGCCTATTCTTAGCTCTGTTGCTATGTGTTGTGGTGCAGGCCATTGAGGCTTCTTGTTCTTCTTGGCCCAATCAGCTCTCAGCATTCTGCATCCTGTGCTGGGCCTTGGAGATCACCAGCCATGCGTCTCTTTCAAGCCTTGGCTGGTTGGGGATGGGGAGGGAATACTGGAATAGCTACATGTTTCATCCAGTGTCCAGCAGGAAACAAAGAGTATATGCCAATGAGGCAACTCAGGTGAGTTTAATAAAAGAACTGTTTTCTGAGGCAGGATCAGGTGTGGGGTAGCTAATGGTCTCAGAGTCCCTCTATCTCCCCCTGTAGACTTTCTTATTCCTTATAGAGAGGACACTTGGTGGCTGGGTATCTTCCTCTTTTATTTTTCCTCTAAATCCATTTTTTCAGACTTCTTTGCTTGCTCTGGAACCTCAAGTTCTGCTATCCCTTCCTTCTCTCATCTGTTTTGGACTAAAGATATGGGAAACAAACCCCCTTTCTCTCCTAAGCACTCAGTCTAGAGGGGGAATGTATTGGTTGATTTTCTGTTACTCTAACAAAATACTTGAGGCAGGGAACTTTATAAAGGAAAGTTTATTTAGCTCACAGTTCTGTAGATTCAGGAGCATGGTGCCAGTATCTTGGTCTTGAAGTGAGCTTCAGAGTTAGATCACAACATGACTGACAGCATCATTGTAGAAACATGAGCAAGAGGGAGAAGTGTCAGGGGAGGCAGGAAGCCAGAGCAATGCAGGGATCATTCTCTTTCTTTTTGGTGACCTGATCACAATGAAATAATGGGGACATGAGAATTACAGTGCCAATCCCAATGACAAAACCACCTTCTATTAGTCTTCCCCTACAGCTTCCCACATGGCCACCTGAAGACCAAACTTCTAGCATATGAACCTTTACACTTAAACCAGATCAGGGAGGTATCTGTACCCACCAGGGATTACTGCACAGTGTGACCTCACAGTGCTTTGGGAATGCCACATTGTGACCTCCTAGCTTCTGTGGAGACAGCATGGACAGAAGGCTTCTCAGAGGTGAGGACACTTGACCTGAGCCCTGGCCAGATCTGGTGGACAAGGACCCAAACTATGGGCACCAGGAATAGCTCATGCAAAAGCACCACTGAAAATGGAAAAGACAAGTGCTTTCGAAAACCATTCATTTATTTTCATTGCAAATAATAGAAAATAAACCCAAAATAGTTAAAGAGAAAGAAAAAAACATTTTAAATATGTTACTTATAGTCTCTAAAGTTCAGGGGCTACAAGCATGACTGGCTCCAGGTGGCCAGATACAATTACCAGGCATCTTTCTCTGTCTGATTCAGACCTTCTGTCTTCTAGGTTAGCCCACTGAGGCAGGATTTCTCCACTGTGGGTCGTGGAGTGGGAAAACAGTTCTTAAAGTATTCCGTCCATGTGTTCCATTGACCTTGGGGATCTAGGTAAAGATCGACATCTCTCTTGCAGCCTCCAGATAGCAAGTATTGTGATGAGATACTTTCACCCAGGTCACCAGGCCTCCCAGTTGAGGGGAAGGGAAGGAGAGACTTTGGCAGGTCCTGATCCCTGACCTCTCCTTGGGCAGATACAGACAAGGAACAGTGCTCCTGGGCCATAGAGGTTCCCACTAGGAAACAGTAGTTGAATTACCGGAAGAAGAGATGTATTGTCAGTTTGTCATTACTATAACAAAATCCCTGACACAATTAACTGATAAAGAGAAAAACGTTTATTTTGGCCCAGGGTTTTGGAGGTTCCAATCCATAATTAAAGACCAGAGCACATGGCCATGCAGACTGCTTATCTTATATGCCAGGAAAGCAAAGAGAGAGAAAGAGGAAGGAGAGGGGTGCAGGTCCTACAATCCTCTTCAAGGACACACCTCCAGTGACCTAAAGACCCTCCACAGGGCCCCACTTCACAAAGGTTCACAGCACCTTCCAACAGTGCCCCCCTGTGGACACTCACCTAAAGCACAGCAAGAGGGGAAGGCAGAACATTCTGGGAACTCCAAAAATATTGCTACTGTAGCCCATTTCACTGGGTATAGCTAGAGAGCAGGGTCCAGGTGGTGACAGCCTCCCCCATTGCAATGGAACACTCCTGAAGGATTGTAAACGAAGAAAAGACTTAGACTTGAAAACTTGAGATTTAATCTGAAAACTAAAGCAACTCTCCAAACAACAACAACAACAACAATAATAATAATGAAAAGCCATACAATACCTTCTAAGCCAAAAAACAACATGTTTGCAATTATCTGCTATTTAAATCTCCTTGTTTCATTCCTTTCCCCCAAATCTTCTCAGGAGACAGGCTGCATCACCTAAGGTCAGTGTGTATTTTCAGATTGCATTAGAATTCTTACTTGTGCAGGGACCAGAACCTTTTAGTTCGGGGCTGGAAGGACTGGGCTAATGTGCTTGATTGCTGGGCTGGGCTCAAGTTCAGCCGTCTCAACGGAGCCAGAAGCATTTGCAGGCAGCTCCTGGCTGGGACATTGACAGGCAGCCTCCTGTGCTGCTGCTCTCAGTAACCCCCACCCCCCTGTGCGCCTGTGAGTCACACTAGGGCCCTGTCAAACTTAGAGCAGGCGCTAAGCCACACGCTCTCCCCGCTCCCCCCACAGCAGCAATTGCTCCTGACAGTGTCTAATTGCACAATCCCTTTCCATTTGTCAAGACCCACCAGTCTCCGTGCAAAATAGAGACTGACAGTCGGGTGGGGGTGGACATGTACCAGAGCGGAGGAAGCAGAGACATCTTGCTAAGAGTGACGAGGGTGCATTGGGAAACAGAAGCTTCTAGTAGGGTATGATAAGAAGCTCGTGGCTCAGGGCCTGGGCCTTGGAATTGAAAGGCCTGGGCTAGACTTCAGAGGCTGCTCCTTCCTAACAAGGGATCTTGGGCAAGTTGCTTAATTTCCCCAGCCTTTAATTTTTCTCATCTGTAAGATGTGAGATTAGAGCACACAGATGAAATGGGATGATTATAAATCACTGTGAGCAGTGCCTGGGTCAATAACTGTCAGCTCTCTCAGTGTTCCATGTCTCCTGCCTTTTGGTTACCATATCCATTTCTGATTGGATCTCTCCAGGTTGCTGGGCGTTCTTTCATTCTGGTGCTGGGTTGTCCGTGGGTGGTGGGGTTGGGTGGGTCACACCGGGTGAGAGGAATCAAGAAGCTTTTATGGTGGCCTTGATCCCTAGGCCTTCTCAGATAGGACTTCCTTCTGTCTGACAATTTCCAGCCTGCCTGGAAGGAGTGAAGGTAATTACAGAGCTGGAAGAGATGTGGGATTGATTTCGTTTGCAGAAATTCCAAGTGTGCAAATATTTTCACAGGTTCCTTACTTATGAACTCGGGCTGCAGGTTGAGAACTTCCATGTTATCACTCATCAGTAGTGTTGTAGCTTTGGGGGAACTTCTAAATGATCTTTCCTTTCCAGTTTGGAGTAATTGAGAAGTAGGAGCTCACAGCTGCAGGACTGGAGATTTGACCTGTGGTCCTGATGAGGCTGTCTCCACCCAGCAGCCAGAGTGAGTGATGTTTTAAAAGTATGAAACTCCTCATGGTTTCTTATTAGAAGAAATCGCCAAGCTTTCTATCTCTGCCTCGAAGGCTGTCCATGATGTGCCCGCCCAGTGTTCACCTCCTTCCACCCCCACCCACCCCCTCACCCTTGCTCACACAGCTATGGGGCCCTTCCTGGGGTTACTTGAGCATTGTGCTCGCTCTGGCCTCAGGACCTTTGTACATGCTGTCCCCTCTCTGGCACTATTCAGGTCACTGCTCAGCTGCTGTCTCCTTGGAGAGGCCTCCCCAGCCATTGTCTGAAAGAGCTGCTCTCTCT